CCATCAGATTAATTGAGCAAGATGTTTTCTACCGGCAAAGTTGTAGACGCCAGAATGATGGGAGTCTTTTGATGTCAAACAATGTTTATTCCGGCCTTATCCTGAAAGAGGTGATAAACCAATTAACTGGTGACAGGAAGTCTAGCCTTTGTTCTAAGGCCTAAAGGTGAAGAATCAGATGAATTAACAGGAGTCCTTATTCAAACTTTGAGATGTTGCAGGCAGGATGAAAAAGGTGGAGTTAACAGGACTGTCTCTTGAGAAGATATTCACGTTTCCACTACAAGTGTGAACGTAGCCTGAGTTATTTGAACCTGTAGATTTGGTAGTTGGAACAGTACTTTTTGTTCTGTAAACCCACCCCCCCTCCCACTGCCTTAGATCACTTACCTAACATCATAGTCTATTGCCCCTAATAACCAATGAACTGGAAAAAGTAAGAATGTAGTACTATAATAGTAGTCAAATGAATATAAATGCAGTAGTTTTCTTCATCTTTAAGTTACTCCCTTTAGGGKTTGCCACAGTGGACCATCTGATTCAGTTTCACCCTCTCTCCTATCTGCTATACTACACCAATCATCTCCATGTCCTCTAGCTTCTCTGAGGTCTTCCTTTTCTTTTGCCTCACAGGTTCATCTTCAACATCCTTTGTCCACTATCCCTCCTAAACACGTCCTAACCATCTCAACCTGGTCTCTTTAGCTTCATCCCTAAACTGTTCCTCTGATCTGCTCATTTCTAGTCTTGCCCATCCTTGTCATGGCCAACAAAAATGTCAGCATCTTCACCTACTGCTTAGCCTCCTGTCTTTTAGAGAGTGCCTCTGTCAATAAACCATGTAATACACTAGGTCTCATTAGATGTGCACAATTATTGTTTTTTACAGCTGATATTGATAACCAATAACATTATTTAAATAGTTTACATACAGCCATGGCCAGGGCTAGACTGGGACAAAAAAATTGGCCTGGGCGTTTAGAGCTGAGACTGGCTCACCAGGAACCTCAGAGACTTGCATGGATTTCTTACTGTTGTTTTCTATAAATCAAGAAAACAACGTGCACAAAAAAATCCAGATGTATCAGATGTTTTGTACATCCCAATCAACTTGGAACTGAGCGCATGTGAGACTCCTCCCCTGACACGCCTTCCTTTACAGATTTTCTTTGAAACTGTATTTTGGTTTATTAAAAATTCAGTTTGACTACTTTCACTTTCAGTTCAATAATTCAGATTTTTGTGTCACATCCTGGTCCTTGAGAAAGCCAGGCAGAGTAATCAAACACAGATCCACAGATTTATGTTTCACGTCTGTAACTACGTTTACATGGACATAAATAATTTAATGGCCATTCTGTATAAAAATGCGTCATGTAAACACCCCATTTGGATTATTCTGATCCGATTCAGCTCCATCCAAATGAATTTGTAATCTTAATGAGAGAGGTGGTTTATGCTGATTGATAATCCAAACAGCGTGCATGTAAACACTTAATCTGATCATTTTATTCTGATTGTGGAAAACTGACCTGACTGCACATGGTGCAAACTGCTGACTTTCATCCAGCGGTTTCTGTTCTTTGTGGAGGGAGGAGCAGCAGCGCTGTAGTTTTCAGCAAATAGAACTTTTCCTCCTGTTCTCTCATACAATAACGAAGGAAGACAAACAGGCTGCGCCGCTTCAAGGAAAAAAAAACTAGATACCGCATAACGGTAACATATGGACCCCCGCACGTACAAATGCACCAGAACTCAGAAGTCTTTATTCCTAATAAATGTCATGCTACTAGGTGCATCCCAAAATTGTAGTGGTTTGGGTGGGGGTCTTTTTTTGGGGGGGGGGCCATTGGCTGACCTGATCAGAGCCCCTCATCAGAGCTAAATAACCAACGAAAATCTGAAGNGGCATTGGTTGACCTGATGGATAGCCCCTCATCAGAGCTAAACAACAAAGGAAATCTGAAGCTCCTATATTGAACAGTTTCTGAGTTATAAGCATTTTTCATGTCCGGACACCCCCTCTTTGAAAGGAGGCAAAACCGTTGGCTGGCGCAGTGTAGGTCAGACTCATCTACAGTCCTGACTCATTTCATGTTGATCTGTGCAGCCATTTTTGTGCTACGGCTGACCAAAAATCACTGGAAAAAATAAATAAACAGTAGGAAAACAATATGACTCCTGCTTATGCTTTGTATGTGGCAGTAGCTCAACCAGGGAGTGCAATAATGGCTTTAAATATTGGCATAACTTTGGCAGATTTTAGTAAGTATCAAAAAATGTCTTTATTCTGAAATGCTACCTGAAACRTTAAAAAGGAAATATTCTGTAAACTGTTTCTGTTTGTCATCAGTCTGCTTTGGTATTCTGGCTGAATGAAGGTGTAGATGGTATCCAGCTCTCAGCTGTGGAGGATGTAGCCAACATGGTTCCATCTTTGTGGGCTGACATCCGAGCCATCATTCAGAACAGGACAGACAAGAATCCCAGCACCAGGTAGGAAACATGATGAATGTAGTTGTTTGCAGGGATAATGCTGAACTTTCACCTAAGATTTACAACTGGTTGTGAATAGTTCTGTTTATTTTTATCCTCTCACACAATTGATCACAAAAAATACAATTTACTACATTTATTATTGCTAATTGAACAGTGTATTTCTCCTGTTTTTAAAGATAAAATTACATGAAAATATTTACTAGGATCCATACCATTTTGTGTTTCTAARTAAGGTTTATTTAAAGTTTTGTGATTTCTGTCTGACCTTTACTTTTTGTGTAGTTGTTTTCTGTTCAGTTCCCACCCAACCCCCTGTTCCCTCAGGTGAGGTGGGTGGGTGGCTCATCATCTCAAGCTTGGGTCCTCTGCCAGAGGTCTGGGAGCTTGAGGGTYCTTCTCAGTATCTTAGCTGTTCCTATAGGACTGTGCTCTTCTGGACTGAGATGTCTGATGTTTCTCCAGGTATCTGTTGGAGACACCTCTTCAGCGTGGGGGGYCACTTCCCCAAGTCATCTGATGACCATGGGCAGTACAGTCACCTTCACCTGCCAGGATTGTTGTTGCTCTTCTCTAAGCCCTTGCTATTTCTCCAGTTCCTCATGTTCCTTCGTCCTGGTGTTTCCATCACTTTGGAGGTGGTCCCCACTTTGACTTTGGGTTCTCCAGTTGGTATTCTGCACAGATGTTTCTGCACACTATACCAGCCACCTAGTTATAGTGTTCCATGTATTCCTTTCCTGCTAGTATCTTGCACCCTGCTATGAGATACTGGATTATTTCTGGGTCTTCTTTACACAGCCTGCACCTGGGATCTYGCCTGGTCTGGTAGATCTGGTCCTGTTCCTGTGCTGTCCTTCAGTCCTGCCCTCTCAGTTGGGAGGATTTGGTCATATCAGCCACTTCGGCTCTCTGTCGGTGGTACATCCCATGCAGGGCTTTTCCCTCCCATGGTGGTTCATTCAGCTCCTTCTTTTCCARTTTCCACTGTCTGAGACATTAGATGTCTTCATCACAATTTTATATAACTTTAAGAACACATGAATCTAGTAAAATAAGTCTGCACYGTTGTTGGTTCTGTTGTTTTACTGCTGTCTGCAGAAAAAGAATAAGCCATATTTTTAAAAAAAACTAGTGATCTGCTAGTTTATTAATATAGAAAACTTTTTAGTTACTGCTATTTTGTAATACTGTATATTGAATATAATCATATTC